CGGGCTCGGGCTCGGGCTCGGGGCTGGGGGCTCGGGCACAGGTCGCTCTCCCAGGCAGCCTCTGCTGCACGTCGGGAGCGGGAGGCCGTGAAGATGGTGGATGAAGAGCAGGATGCCGGGTTCAACCTTATGGAGCAGGAGGGGGAGGAAGAGGAGGATGAGGAAGAGAAGACTATGCAGGAGGAGGAGGAGGAGGAGGAGGAGGAGGAACAGGTGAGGGAGATGGGTGCTGGGTCTGGGAGTGATGGGGGCGGCTGGCCCCTAACATCTCCTCCAACCGGCGTTTCAAGCGTTAGTGTTTTGCTTCCTTGCCCTCTCTCACAGGTGCTCGAGCCGTGTCCCCTGACGGAGGAGAACATGAAGGAGGGCCTCTCTCTGCTGTGTAAAACTGGCAATGGCCTGGCTCATGCCTATGTGAAGTTTGAAGCGAAGGAGAAGTGAGTGAGCAAAACGTGCCCTGAACGAAGGAGATCTACTCCTCCTCCTCTCCACAAATCTGCATAGATGTGGACCCCTGCTCTGAGCAGCTGGTGATGGCCTCATTGGGCAGGAGCATTTTTCTTCCAGGGCACCTCCTCTGGCTACTTCAGTTCCAGTCTGTCCCTCAGCATAGTCTGACCATCACCAGCTAGGACACCACAGCCGTGCACACTGCTGGGAGCATCAGCGTCCCTGGGGACTGAAGGGCACTTAGGGCATCCCTGGCTCTAGGCTGTGGTCCCCTGAGGGAACCTGAGCAGGGTGACCTCATCAAAGTCAAATCTCTAGGAATATCCATTGAGCGTCTTGCCTSATAACTGCTTAGCTTTAACCTCTGTATCTGTGAACACCATGCAGCAATGTCCTTGGGCTTCAGCGCCATTAGCACACTCAAATAAACCGAGACCTAAGTGGCCTCAGTGAGGCTGTGTCTTTCCCCAGCCTCTTCCGGCTAGGAAAGAGCTTCCATAGGGTGCTTGGTATTACCACTACCATGCAGCAGACCCATTTCCCAAGTTAGCCTCTTTTCTGCTCTGATTCTGCTCTTTCATGACAGCTACAGGGCAGTGGGAAGAAGTACTCCCTGGAAGTCACAGGAAATTGGGTCCCCTCTTACCTTTCAGCCTTGTTTACAAAATATTCAGCCTGCTCCTATTGCTTTTCTTTCACATCCTCTCTAGCAAAGTTTTCCAGGGCAGAAGGGAAGGAGGGAAAGGGAAATGCCCTTCCTCTGGCAATGGCGAGGGGCAAACTGAGAGCCAGTGGCAGGAGAGGTGCATGCGAGATGTTCTGCCCCCCGCCTCTCTCCCATAGGCACTTGACGGACATCAGCCTCCTTCAGCGCTACATYCACCTGCGGTACGTGAACTTGTCGGAGAACAAGCTGCGGGACTTGTCTCCGCTGAGCAGCCTAACGCACCTGCTTTGGCTGAAGGTGGATGGAAATCTGCTTACGAGTGCCTGCATGCAGGAGCTGCCCTACCTTCAGATCATCAGCTTTGCTCACAACCGCATCAAGGATATGGAGGGCATTACTCACCCCCGCTTAGCCAACCTCAGCCTTAAAGGTGATGCAGACCACCTCTCTGCATTCTTGTGTACATAGGAAGCTCTGCTTGGGTGAGATTAACTCTCTTGTGGCTTTTTTTTCCCCTCCTCTGGCCTTCAGGAAATAAAATCAAGGCAGCGCTGGGCCTGAGTCAAGGACAGTTGTTCAGCCTGCATATCTTGGAACTGCGAGGAAACAAGCTGGAGAGCACAGCAGGGCTAAACCTTCCCAAGCTCAAGACACTGTATCTGGTAAGGGGTCAGTCAGCTCGGGGAGTGGGACAGAGATGTGGCACAGCCCAGTAGCTTTGGTATGTGGGAGGAGGGCAGATGTTGCCCCCTTCAGAGCAGCATAATTTCCACGCTAGCCTGCTCTGTTCTGTCTTCTCAGCCTGAGAGATGAACATTTTTCAGAGAACTAAAGAGACCAAGTTCCTTCTTTGGGCTAGGTCCTTCTACATTATCTGCTTAGATAGTGTGAAAGGGGTAGTAATGTTTTGTATGAAGATTCCCATGAGCCTTGGGAAGATGAAGCTGGTGCTGCAAGGGCAGTCTTCAAAGCACTCAAGCAATAGGAATTCAAAGGTCAGTTTAAAGGAACTGGATCAAATTTGGTTAATATACGACACCATTGCAGGTGAAATTTAACATTAACACAGCTACACCCACCAGCAGGAAAAACAGGAGCTGGCTGTGGACCGTGTGGCGTTTCAGCCAGTGTCAGTGTGGAGGGCGCTGCTGTTAGCAGAGCCGCGTTACTCACTGTCCTTCATCCAGTAGTGGTGAGAGAAGCAGCTAGAGCAAGGCCAGGGATACGAGCAGCAGGCAGGGAGCGAGGTGCAACACACTGTGACAGCTCTCCGTAAGAGATGCTGCTCTCACACCTGTGTGACAAACTCCCGTGTAAGGTAATGTGATGATGAAGTCATTTAATTAAAGGAATTGAATGTTGATTTAGGGGAAAAAATAAAAACACTTTCTGCATTATATTGTTGGTGCTTGCAGGGCCAGAGCCTTTGAAACTACTTACACTGATGTGGTGGAGAATGTGAGAGCAATAGTAGGTTACTGTGCATTTTAGACTAGTGGTCTGTGAGCTCCCCACACTAATTCCCTCACAAGCTCCTGATTTCCTCTCAGGTTTAACCTACTAATCCTTCCTGGCTTTCCTGGCTTTTAAAGCTCTTCACAGTACCTTTTGTTAAATCTCAGCCTTTTTTTTTTTTTTTTTTCTCATTATCTTACCTTCCATTCAGGCATTCCCTTGGCCAGTTTCCCTTAAGTCTTCCTTTCTCTACCAAATATACTTTTCCTAAGAGACCCAGTCCCAAACTGTTGTGATGTCCCACCAGTTCCGCTTTTGCCCTTTTTGTTTGACTTGGGCATCATCCACCTCATCGCCTGGGTATGAGCAAAGAACGGAAAGCACAGCGGAGCCTCTCCCCCTTTCCTGCTCTAGTATCTACCCGTGTGGAGACTGCAGCCCCGAGCCACAGAGGCAGGGGAAGTGCTTCTCCGTGCCATCTGCTGTATGTGGGAGAGAGTGTGTGATTTCCAGGATTTTCCAAACTTGCCTGCACAGCCCTGTGGTACAGGGGTGGGAGAAATGATTCTTCACTACTGTGTAAGCCCTTCTCCTGCAGTGTTACTTATGTGTCATGTCCCAACTCAGCAAAGGGAAGCTTAGTGGTGACAGCAAGTCAGAAGGGTAGAAAGAGCTTTAAAGATGAAAAATAATTGCTCCCTTCCCTGTGTCTCCCCCCTTTCCCTTCTCCCTTCTTGCCTTCCTGGTGCTCAGGCCCAGAATGTCATTAGAAGCCTTGAAGGCCTCGAGGGCCTAGGACAGCTCACAACTCTGCACCTGCGTGACAACCAGCTTGAAACCCTGGACGGCTTCTGTAGTACCATGAAGTGCCTGCAGTACCTCAACCTGCGGTGGGTCCTTCCTGCTCTGTGCCAGGACCAGAAACACCCCCACCAGGCCATATTCCTATTTGTGTCTTTAGCRCTTCCCGGTTTCTGGTTTCTTTGTGAGTCAAAGGCCTGATAGGAATTGATTGGCATTTACTGCCCTTAACTTGTGTCCAGGCTTCAGCTGTCTGGAGATGTGACAGCCAGGACTTTTCCTGGGCTTCCTAGAAGACATCTACCCCTCTAGCCACTTTCAGACTCCACCTCATTTTTTTTTTCCTTTGCCAAGACACCTTTGGATCCCTTTCCACTTTCTCGGTGTCCAGGGTGGAAACATAAGAACCCTTTTCTTCTAGGTCTTTGCCGTAATATGGCTAAGCCAGATAATTCAATGGATTCTGTAAGCACGGAAAAATCCAGAGGAAATGGGCTTTGTGTTCCTCAGTTGGGAGAGCTCCACACCACAGGTCTGTGGTCTACGGTCTACGCTCTGTCACGCTGCTAAGTTTTGCTTTGTCTTCGTTGTGAGCTTAGCATCCTGCAAGGAYCTTGCTTCTTGTAATTCCTCCTCCCTCCCTCCTCACTCTGCTCTCTCCTCCTCAGGAGCAATGCGATCAGTAACCTTCAGGAGGTGGCAAAACTACAGGTGCTCCCCATGCTGCGGGCACTGGTGCTGTTGGACAACCCATGCTCTGATGAGGCTGATTACCGGGTGGAGGTCCTGGTCATGCTGCCCCACTTGGAGCGCCTGGACAAAGACTTCTTTGAGGAGGATGAGCGGACAGAGGCAAACAAAATCCGTCAGCAAAGGCAGGAAGAAGAACAGGTAAAAATGGCACAGGGAGAAGAAAGCAAAGGCAAAGAGAGAGGCCAGATTTGTCAGTGAAGAGTCTCCTCTTCTACATTACAGGAGGAAAAAACTGAGGGAAGCCAATCCTAAGGGCAGGGCAGAGGGGCTTGCAACAGGCACTGGCCAGCAGCAAAACCCTGCTGCCATTTCAATCCCTACTAGCAGGAGCAGTAAAGAGGAAAAAAAAAAAAAAAAAAAAAAAAGGAGCATGGATTCATTTAACTTCTTCCTCTTTTCTTCTTCAGGAAATGGAGGAATTTGCTGAAGATGATGTGACTGAGTGATCCTGGCTTTTCCTACTTGTTCCTCGAGCCCTTCATGATATGGAGATGTCCTTGCACTACTGGCATATGTGGCAGGGAAAGCAAGAGCTCCAGGTGGCTGCATGTGCCAGGAGAAAAGGGGAGGATTAGGCACCCCGGTCCTGGAGACTGCCCTGAGGAACTGCAGGGCTCGTGCGTTCACTGCGCACACACACTACTCTCAGTAAGGCCCTGAGGCAAAAGCAAGAGTTGTAGGTTACGTGGTTTTATTTTTGACTTTCAAAAATTTTGCAAGATTTTCTGATTTAAATAAAACTAGTTAATGAGCCTGGAGTGACTGGAATTGTTTATCCTGCACACCCACTTCTATTCCCTGGCGCTCTCACCCTCGTCTGTGAGTGCCTGTCCCCTGTCTGCCTCTCTCCCTTTCTCTCTCCATCCCCTACGTGCTGTTTGCAAAGCTTTGCTAAATCCTGACTCATCGCGGCTCYGGGTCACATGCTGCGGTCCCGGCCCTATCAGGGGCGTCTCCATCCTGCCGCCGCCGCCGCCGTTGGCTTAGAGGACACATCATCTCCCCTTGAGGTCCCGCATCCCTCCTCAGCTCCGTCCTCCTCTCCCCGCAGCCAGCACTTTCCCAGGGTCTCGTTCCCCCTGCCCTAGGAAGGTAAGTGTCTCCCCACGGCCAGCACTGCCCCCGCTCACCGCACGCRTTTCGCTGCCCTCCACCCTGTGCCCTCCAGACCCCACACGCACTTGGGGCCCTGCAGRGAAGGACCCGGGCGAGCGGCATTAAACCACCAAACTCCCCTTGCTTCCTTCCCCTGCTTCCCCCACCTCGTTCTCCTCCCGCCTCCCCTCACTTCTGTTTTCGTGTTTTAATTGCAGGTGCTCCTTGCTCCCCCCCAGTCAGGCATCCTTTCCGATGTGAATTTGAGGAGGGGGGCCGCCAATAAACAAACGCGGGTTGTGTTCCCAAGGGCACTGCAGGGAGGCTGTGGGATGGCGCTTCCTTGGGGGAGGGGCTGGGGGAAGGGAAGGAGGGAGAACTCACTTGGGCATCGCGGGGAAAATGACCCACGGTGGGAGCAGACTGGCCCCCCAGCTGGTGTTCCCAGCTGGGAACCCAGCCAGGCGGCGAGGAGAGGCAGGGGCAGGAGCGCGGATGTTCTCCTGTCTTTCCCAGCCCCACGGGCGCAGTGTGGGGGGGCAGCAGGAGAGGAGGTGACAGCCGAGCGAGCGGCAGCTGCATCAGCGTTGACACTGCAGCAGTGCGGGCTCCGGCGAGTGGCGCCCAGCGCGGGCAGCTGCGGCAGCGCGGGCCGCGCGGCGCCCGCCACACGCGGCCAAGGCCCTTGCAGCGCTGCGCGGCGGCGGCAGCGAGGGCGCAGTGCCGCAGCGTGAACTTCAGCGAGCGCTGCCCTGCTGACGTGCAGGGCCCGGAGCGGTGCCTACGCGAAGGCGCCGCGGCAGCGCCRCGCTCCTGGTGCTCCCTTGCCCGGCCTCTGCGCGAGGGAGGCTGCCGGCCTCCGTCCGCTGTGCCTGCTCCCCCTCTCCGCTGTGGTCGAGAGGTTCCCAGCTACTGGTCTGTCCCAATCCCTTATCCCAGCTTATCCGCCTCTGACCTGCTTTCAGGACGGTGCAGCCGATGCTGTGGATTTCAGTGTGGTCACTCACGCTGTGCAAGGGAGGAGGGAGACGCAGGAGTAGAGAAAAGAGTGGAAAGGGCTAGCGGGGGGAGAAGAGATCAAGCGAGYGGCAGGGTGGGGCAGGCAAGGCTGAGCCTGTGCCTGGCCTTTGGCTTCCTCCAGACTGGTCCCAACGGGGGCAGGTGGACACGGGCAGAGAGACACGGCCGCAGCCAGCGGGAGCGCACAAGCAGCAGGGGCGTCGCGGCCGGCACGGAGCTCGTGGTGCGGTCCCCGCTGCACCAACAGCCCCTCGAGCAGGGCCCGTTGCTCCCCGCGGCGGAGGCTGTTGGGGCAGGGCCAGGCACTGCTGCGCAGGCAGCTCCCAGCGGCGCGGGCACCGCGCTGGAGGAACTTCCCGCGGCGCGTGCCAGATGGCGTGAGGAGCTCTGCCAAGGCGGCTCTCGGGGATCCCAGCCCGCATGGACGCAGTGGAGGGCCTGCCTGGGCCCCGGAGAGTCCCAGCTCACCGGCTGCAGCTCCCCACTCCAGGAGGATTTGCTGAAACTTGAGCGCAGAGAGACTCCCCCCCATCTGCGTGATGTCCACGAGCGAACCGGAGGCGATGGGATGAAGAGCTCGGCAGCGCTGCACAGCCCCCGGGCCGGTGCGGGGGCTGGMGTGGGGTGGGGGTGACATGAAAGGCCAGTCTGTGGGAATCCGAAGGTGGARTGAGGCAGAGGAGGGTATTTTGCCCTTCTCCAGAAGGCAGACTGAAGCCACAGAAGCTGTTTCAAGCCGCCATCCCCACACACAAGCCAGTTTTCTACTTCAGGTTGAACTAGGTGCATCCAAAATGCCGCATCAGGTTGACTAAGGCGCATCCAAAATGCCGCATTTCCTTCCCTCCCCTTCTTACTAGATAGAGAGATGACTCCCAGTCCCGGATATCTTCCTCTGCCATKCACAGAGGAGCAGGTTCGAGAGGCTGGGGTCAGTCCTCTGTGTCTGGGCAGGGCCAAGTCTCCCTCCCCTCCTCCCGAGCTGGCTCTCCCATGTTCTCAGCACTGGGGCCTGCAGGAAAATGCCTCTTCAGGCTGCTACTCTCCCCTGCGCCGTGGGGCCGGCCTCCCGCGTGCCCGAGGGCGCCAGGCGGGGCAGCCGGATGCAAAGCCGGGTGGGAGAGCAGCGGCAGAGGCCCCCGCTGGGAGAGCAGCGGCAGAGGCCCCCGCTGGGAGAGCAGCTGCAGAGGCCCCCGCTGGCCTCCCTTGCGCGGGCAGGGGGTGGCCCCAAGGCCCCGCGGGTGCTGCAGCGGCGCTGCCCCAGACGAGCGCTGTGCTATGGGGCTGGGAGCCACCACTGGGCTGCAGGCACCTCAGGGGCCAGCCCAGCCCTCCCTGCTGCTGCGGCTGCAGAGACACCCTCTGTATCCCTGCATATCCTGATCCCGGCGTACCCTGATCCCYGCATATCCTGATGCGCACTTGGGCCTGGCCAGGAGGGGGAGGGCGCTCAGCTGCCGCTCTGGGAAAGGGGGAGGGGCTCCCACAGCTCCCAGTTTGTCATCTGTGGAGATTGAGCAGACTCCCCATCCCTTCCCTTCCCCTTCCCTTTCCTTTCCTTCTTCCCTTCCCTTTCCCTTACCCTTCCCCTCCCTTTCCTCCTTCCCCTCCCTTCTTTCTTCCCTTTCCCTTCCTCCTTCTCCTTCCCTTTCTTCTTCTCTTTCCCTTCCTGCTTCCCCTTCCTCCTTCCTTTCTCCTTCCTCCTTCCCCTTCCCTTCCCCTTCCCTTCTTCCTTCCTCTTTCCCTTTCTTCTTCCCTTCCTCTTCCCTTCCTCCTTCCCATTCCCTTTATTCTTCCCTTCCCCTTCCTTCTTCCCCTTCCCGTCCTTTCCTTTCCATTCCTTTTCCCCTTCCCCTTCCCTTCCTCCTTCTCCTTCCCTTCCTCCTGCCCCTTCCTCCTTCGCCTTTCCCCTTCCCTTCTTCCTTCCCCTTTCTTTCCCCCTTTCCTCTTCCCTTCCTGTCCCTTCTCCCTTCTTTCTCCCTTCTTTCTCCCTCCTCCCTTCTTCTCCCCTCTCCCTTCTCTCTCCCAACAGTCATCATGTCAATTGAGAAGATCCACGCCCGAGAGATCCTGGATTCTCGTGGGAATCCCACTGTTGAGGTGGACCTGTACACACAGAAAGGTAGGTGGGAGCGGATGGGAGCTGTGAGAAGGAACCTCCTACCTGTGCTGGAGGAGCTGGCTCTATACAGCAGCTTGGCAGCTATACAGCAGCCTCTCTAGAGCACAGAGCACAAATTTCCAGTAAAAAGTGAACTTTCTAGTGGCCCTCTGGCAAACAGCAAGCCAAGGGAAGTGGCAGCTCTTCCAGCCTCTGCCTGTGGCTTTGTCCTTGGCTCTGACTGCCTGTGTTCAGCACGTTTGCACATAGGGCTGAAAAATCACGCTTTGCCAGTGCAGCCACTAGTGAGGAGGCAGCTGCTGCACAGCTCCAGCAAAAGGGTCCCCTCCCTCCACTCCGGGTGGAGGATGCTGCATTTCATGTCTGACCACATGCGATTTCTCTAGGGAATCTCRGAAGTGCCATCATGAGCTCTGCAGTGGGAAATCACATGGGAACCACTGGCCGCTCTGTGTATGAGCCCCGTGACTAGTAGCAGCAGGGCCTGCAAGTTTCCCTAACACAAGTAACATAACCAACATAATATAACACAGCAAAACATAAGTAACAGAACTAACACCTCCTAGTCCTGTGCATGCAATGCCCTCCTGCAGCTGTGGCTTTAGCCCTGTGCGTTTGGAAGTACCTCATGAAGTTGCGGGAAGGTTTGTCCCCGAGACTCTGTGCGGGCGTGCATGTGTGCATGGCCCAGCTAGAAGGGGGGTGGACTGAAAGGTATGGGGAGCTGTGGGTGGCCAGAGAAGGGACTTGACTGCTCCGTTCTCCCCTTTCTTCCTGGAGGCAAAAAAGCCATCCCCAGTCAGAAAGGAAGGACATCTCTGGCGGCCGTGATTCCACTGCTCGCACCACGTGCAGCGGGGGTGCCGGGACAGGAGCTCAGCAGCCAAACATCCATGTGTCATCTGCAGTTCTGGCACTGATGTGGGTTTCTTTRTGGATCAGATTCAGGCTTTCAAGCTCTGCGCTTCAAAGCTTTTGACCATGGGTGAATTTGTTTCTGTCACTTGGGTTTTCCGCCTCTACGAAGACCAGCCACGAGTGGCCAGGCTGGGGCCATGTGTTTGCACTCTCGGTTCCCATATTCTTTCCCATGAGAGTCAAACAGAAGCAGATGCATGAGAACTTTCCTTTRTCTTCCACTCTTCTCACACCTGTGTTTTGTTGTCTCTCAGGCCTGTTTCGAGCAGCCGTCCCCAGCGGTGCATCCACCGGGATCTATGAAGCACTGGAGCTACGAGATAATGACAAGTCACGGTTCCTTGGAAAAGGTGGGGAGGTGTCTGCTCCCACACCCACATCCCTGGGGCTACATGTGCTTGGGGATTCGCTGGAGGGTCTCGCTCATCCACTAATGTGATGTGGATGTTATTCTGCTGACCTCAGCGAGATCCCAAAGGCACTGAGTTAGCATAAAAAGATCAGGGTTAGACTTTCTCTCGCTG